GCATGCGGGATCTTCCCGGACCGGGGCACGAACCCGTGTCCCCTGCATCGGCAGGCGGACTCTCAACCACTGCGCCACCAGGGAAGCCCCCATGAAAATTTTTAACTTTTGTGGATCAAAAGACATTATTAACAGAGTAAAAAGGCAACCCATAGAAAATATTTGCAAACCACATATTTGATAAGGGATTAATATCCAAAATATAGAGAACTCCTAAAACTCACCAAAAAAACCAATTCAAGGGCTTCCCTGGTGGTGCAGTGGTTGAGAGTCCGCCTGCTGATGCAAGGGACACGGGTTCGTGCCCCAGTCCAGGAAGATCCCACATGCCGTGGAGTGGCTGGGCTCGTGAGCCATGGCCACTGAGCCTGCGCGTCCGGAGCCTGTGCTCCGCAACAGGAGTGGCCACAACAGTGAGAGGCCTGCGTACTGCAAAATAAATAACTAAATAAATAAAAATAAACTCAGGACTTAATTGCCACTAAAAAAAAAAAAAAAAATTCAAAAATGGGTAAAGGGGACTTCCCTGGTGGCGCAGTGGTTAAGAATCCACCTGCCAACGCAGGGGACACAGGTTCGAGCCCTGGTCCGGGAAGATCCCACATGCCACAGAGCAACTAAGCCCGTGCGCCACAACTACTGAGCCTGCGCTCTAGAGCCCGTGAGCCACAACTACTGAAGCCCGTGCACCTAAAGCCCGTGCTCCTCAACAAGAGAAACCACGGCAATCAGAAGCCCGCGCACCACAATAAAGAGCAGCCTCTGCTCACCGCAACTAGAGAAAGCCCGCGCGCAGCAACGAAGACCCAACACAGCCAAAAAAAAAAAAAAGGGTAAAGGACTTGAATAGACATTTACCCAAAGAAGATATACAAATAGCCAATAAGCAAATGAAAAGATACGCAACATCATGAATCATTAGAGAAATGCAACTCAAACCTATGATGAGCTACCACCTCATACCAATTAGGATGGCTACAATCCAAAACAAAAACAAAAACAGAAACTAACCAGTGTGGTGAGGCTGTGGAGAAACTGGAACCCTTGTGCACTGTTGCTGGGAATGAAAAATGATGCATCCACTACGGAAAACAGTATGGCTGTTCTTCAAACAATCAAAAATAGAATTATATGATCCAGCAATCCCATATCTGGTTATATATCCCAGAGAATTGAAAGCAAAGTCTCAAAAAGGTATTTATGCACCAATGTTCAAAGCAGTGTTATTTACAATAGCTAAAATGTGGAAGCAACCCAAGAATTCATCAATAGATGAATGGATAAGCAAAATGTGGTATATACATACAATGGAATATAATTCAGCTGTAAAAAGGAAGGAAATTCTGTCACATGGGGAACGGGGAGTTACTGTTTAATGAGTATAGAGTTTCAGTTTTATAAGGTGAAAAAACTTCTGGAGATGGATGGTGGTTATGGTTGCACAACATTATGAATGTATTTAATACCACTGAACTGTACACTTAAAAATGGGTTAAGAAAAAGAATCTAAAAAAGAGTGGATATACATATGACCCAGCAATCCCACTACTGGGCACATACCCGGAGAAAACCATAATTCAAAAAGACACATGCACCCCAATGTTCACAGCAGCACTATTTACAATAGCCAGGACATGGAAGCAACGTAAGTGTCCATCAACAGAGGAATGGATAAAGAAGATGTGGTACTGGGCTTCCCTGGTGGTGCAGTGGTTGAGAGTCTGACTGTTAATGCAGGGGACACGGGTTCGAGCCCTGGTCTGGGAAGATCCCACGTGCCATGGAGCAACTAGACCCGTGAGCCACAACTACTGAGCCTACGCGTCTGGAGCCTGTGCCCCGCAACAAGAGAGGCTGTGATAGTGAGAGGCCCGCGCACTGTGATGAAGAGTGGACCCAGCTTGCCATAACTAGAGAAAGCCCTCGCCCAGAAACGAAGACCCAACACAGCAAAATAAATAAATTAATTAATAAACTCCTACCCCCAACATCTTCTTTTAAAAAAAAAAAAAAAAAAAGAAGATGTGGTACATATATAGAATGGAATATTATTCAGCCATTAAAAGGAACAAAATTGGGTCATTTGTAGAGATGTGGATGGACCTAGAGAGTGTCATACAGAGTGAAATAAGTCAGAAAGAAAAACAAATATCGTATATTAATTAACACATATATGTAGAATCTAGAAAAAATGGTATAGATGATCTTATTTGCAAAGCAGAGAGCCACAGAACAAGTTAAAAACACCAAAATTTAAAAGTTTACATTGTAAAAAGAATTTGCCCTTCATTTCCCCGCATTTACGGTGGCCCCTTTCCCATATTAAAGAGTCTTGAAGGTGCCTCATACACTCTTCAGAGCCATTCACACATAGAACGTTCTGGACACTGTGACTGGCTTTCTTTGCTTTGACTTAACCATGTGTCCTGATGTATTTCATATCAGATTATATATAACTCCTTCATTATCTTAAACAATTGCACGTTGACCCATTTTATGAATACATAGACACCAAATACAAATGAACACCTACCTATGATTCTATTTGCATAAAATTCCAAAATAGTCAAAACTAACCTGTGGTGACCAGTAGAATGCAGGATAGGGGTCACCTCGGAGGAGGAATAGGGCAGTGAACGAGAGGGGTGGGAGGCTTCCAGGGAGCTGGTCATGATCTGATTCTTAAACTCAGTGATGGTTATACAGGCGTGTCCACATGTTAATAATTCATTGAAATGTACATTTATGATTTCTGCACTCTTCTGTATGATGTCGTGCTTCAATTTTACCGAATTTAATCTCACAGTCTAGTGGGAAAGTTATACAGAGCGGCAAATAACTATGGCTCAGTTTGGTCAATGAATTCAGGACTCGGTATCTTCTTGCCCTGTTGCAGCGGTTGACCCCAACGCGGCTGGAGGCTGACCGCAAGCTAATCCCAGCTGCTGCCAGCTGGATAACCTTGAGCAAGTTACACACGCGTGAGCCTCCTCAGTTCCCAAATCTGTAAAATGGGAATAATAATACCTGATACAGTTATTGCAAGGGTGTAATATAGTAATCTATGTAAAGTGGGTAGGAGTGCTCCGCAAGCACATAGCAGGTGTTCCATTCACTCCAGCTACCGATACCACGAAACTGTCATTTTTACAAGGAAAAGGATCCTCCTCAGTGCTCAGTAAAGAAATGCTTTGGGTGAAATATCCACCGCCGGTCTCCTCGGGGACGGCGAGCTCACAAAGAAGCGTGGTCGGAGGTGCTGAAGCTCGGGAAAGCAGTCTCCCTGCATGGAGAACTCGCAGCCCACCGCTCTGTGACCGCGTCCGCCTTAAGCGCGGGGCAATGACGTCATCCCCCACGCGATGCAACCTACCTTGGAAGCTCCCCAGCTATTCCTCCGGGCCGTCTCCATTGGCTGGCCAGGACAGGCGGCCCCGCCCCTTTCCCGCCGCGGGACCCGGGGGTCCGCCGTCAATCTGCCCATGTGGGAGCGGTGATTGGCCGCTGGGCCCGCCCCCCAGAAAACTCCGCCGGGCTCGCGTAAGCTGCGCGCTCGGGCTGGGAGGGGCTCGGCACCGCGTCAGGAGCCGCCACTGTCCCGGTCAGCGCGCCAGGCCGCTGTTGGTCACTCCTGCAGCCCGCCTGCTGGGCAGGGCCGGCCCGGCCCGGCCATGGAGTCCTACGACATCATCGCCAACCAGCCCGTGGTCATCGACAACGTGAGGCTCGGCAGCCGGGGGGAGGGCGCACGCGGCAGTGCACGCGGGGACCCCCGACAGACTCGGCTGGTCCCTCTAGCTCACTGCCCGCCCGCCACCCCTGCCGGCCGTCCCCACCTGGTCCTGTAGTTGGGGCCACGGGGCCAGCCCCCCGCTGGCGCGGCGGAACCCCAGCCCGAGCCCTCCCAGAGCCGGGCGGGGAGGTCCGGAGAAGAAGGGGGTCCCATCGTTCTGGCGGCCCTTGGTCAGCATCCGGAGAGGTGGGGTGACAGTCGGGCGGCCCGGCCGAGGCACCCCGGACCTTTCTCAGTTGAGAGTGGGGTTGCTGGGCAGGTTTCGACCCCAGCCCCTTTCCCTCTTCTCAGGCTGTGGCTCTGGCTGCCCTCTTGCACACTGCTGGCCCCATCTTTTGGAGAGGGTTGGCCTGGGGACCTCTACAACAGCTCTTTCCAAGTGCTGCACCCCCAGGCAGCACTACCAGAGTGGGCAGGCCCTACTGCGCCCTTTTCCTGGGACTGGGGAAAAGGCAGGTTAAGCTCTGCCCACCACATAGCCGCCACCACCTGGCTGGCCACTTGGCTACTTTGACCCTTTCCTTAAGTGCTCTCCGAGCCAAGCAGAAGTTCCACAGCCGGCAGGGCAGTGGAGAGAATTCAGGACTACTCTTCCCAGGACCCATAGCAGTTTGGGAACATTGTTTGCAAACCTCAGAGGAAAGTTGCCTGGCTTCATTGTGGTTTGTCCTTCAGCACTGGGGCTCAGCATGTTTTCTGGTCCACGGGAAGAAAATGAAGGGCAGGGATCTGTGGATCTGCCCCTAGCTGGGTATCTGCCTCTGGTGTGTGGGCCTTGGAGTTTTTGATAATGACTCACTTCTCTTTCTGGGATCTGTCTCCCTGTAATCCCTGAACGGCTGTCTTTTTTGGAGTACCCATGTAAGTGCCCTGAGTCACAGCAGGGGATGTTTAATAAGGCTAGAGCTGGGCTTGGAGGATGCTCTCCATCAGGCTACAGGAAAAATCAGGCCAGTTCCTTACTTGGTGGGCTAATCAACAAGTTAATGAGTTTAGAGGGCAACCTGTTTGGTTCCTCTGGGCTTCCAGCCCCTCCTCTGTAACTTGGGGATGTTTATATTTCTGCTCTGTGGACCCCAAGGGTTGTGATGGAGATCTATGGAAAGAGGGGTTGAGATGCTCATTCCTGCAGTGAGTGGGAGGTTTCTAGATGCCAGGTTCCCTTTAAGATATTCTAAGTCCAGCTTCTATGCTGGAGCAGTGGCAAGACCAAGCTGTCCTCCTGTAGTCTCTGGAGAAGCCACTTGAGGAGAGGTGCCAGTTGTCCCAGTGAACCCAGTGATCTTCCCCAGCAGGTCCTGTATGTGGCCCGTGGTTGCTGAGGGGAGGGGGCCAGAGAGTGTTGAAAAAAGCTTATGGGTTGCTTCTAGCTGGGTTTTGGGAGTAGCTTGTGCTGCTTTGGAGTCCTTCTGCCTGGAGCTGACCTTGGAGTGTGCAGATGAGGATGTACTTTGTGGTTCCTCCATCTCTACACTAGTGACATTTTGGCCTGGATAATTCTTGGCTATGTGGGGCTGTCCTGTGCCTTTTAAGATGTATAACAGCATCCCTGGCCTCTACCTAGAAGCCAGTGGCAGCCCCCGCTCCCCAGTCTCCAGACATTGTCAAATTTGGGGGAGGGGATGCAAAATCGCTCCCGGTTTTGAACCACTGATGTACTTGTAAATGGCCTTGCCCTCTTGGCACGATCTCAGGCTGCCACCCCGGGCTGCCATGGTGGGGCAGCAGCCCTCTCCATGGCAGGGCACTTCCTTCATCTGGAGGTGAATGTTGGGAGCTAAACATTGTTTTTCTTTGCAGGGTTCAGGGGTGATCAAGGCTGGCTTTGCAGGAGACCAGATTCCCAAATACTGTTTCCCAAACTAGTAAGTGTTGCTCAGGCAGCATCCCTAACCCTTCCGTTTGCTTCCACAGAGAACGTGGGTCCTGTGTCACAGCTCTCTTTGAGGCCAACTCTTGTCCCCACCTGTAGGGAA